ATGTAACCGATGTTGGAATCTAAAGGTGATAAACTTTTCTCTTTTTGTGTTTCTAGGCTTCGTCAAGACCGTTTGCGACAGGAACAATTGGCACGAGAACGACTGGAACAATTGCGTAACCGCAAAAGAGCCAAAGAACAAGAGGCCGAGGAGAAACTGGTGACTGACGGGGAAGTCAGCGTCTTACAAGAAGCTGTAATGAAGGCGCTGGAACGGAAACATCAGGATGAACGGCAGGTGAGTATCAGATAAGTAAATCGAACCAGGGAAATCTTAAAAAGAGACGTAGGATTTTCTCTAGATGGACCATATTTCAATTTTTATACTGCTTTTCCGCGTCTCCCCTTAAAAAAACTAAACAAAAAAATAAAAACACTTAATTAGAACAAAAGAACAGGGCAGAAGGAGTTGATGGGAATCAAACCAAACCAAGCACGTGTAAATTGTCTTAAAGGCGGGAAAACGTGAATGACTTAGTTCGCCATCTGATTAGTGGAGAGGGCGGCGTAAGTTTGGTTTGGACCAATCAAATAGCGTATTGAAACGAAACAAATGCATCCCTCGTCCCTAACCAAGTACACCGCGTGGGTTTGACTTTTCATCGCAATTTCGTGGGCTCGACGCCTCGTAGGGTCTCAGATATTTCAATCTTGTTTTTGTTGTTTTGGATTCTTTATTCACTTAACATATTCTGGAGAAAGGTATGGATTTTCAAGCTCAATTCTCGCTTGAGGACGCAGGCGAAATTTAAGGAAAAAACAAAGGAGAATTTCTGATTTGATCATGGGTCTTTATTAGGCTTTACTTGACGTGTTGCAACAAGAAATGCCAGAATTAGCTGAGGCCGCCGCGACGATGACTCAACAACAGCGAGAGAATTGGCTCCAGCAGATCAGCATGAAAATGAAAGGTCTTGATCCAGGTATGGAAATACTTTTAAGATCTAAGATCGCGCTCTCCTTTTTAACTAAGTTGAACACTTTTACAAAAGCGAGTTTTCAAAGTCAAGTTTTCCTTATTCATCTTGTTCCTTTCACAGCCGACAAAGAGGCCCGTCATAATTTACTCGTGGAAGCTGCTGTTTTTAAAGTTGTAAACCGACAGAAGTATCTGGAACTGTCGCAAGAGGAAACTGTGAAGAAAGATGATGTTATTGTGTCGCTGTTGGCAGACTTGCAGCAGGAACAGGACCAAGAAAGCGAAAAACTTGTGAATGAAATGCAGGACAAGGTATGTTACGTCTCTTTGGTGGTCTGTGTAATTCAGTAAAGAGCTTTTCTATTGAATGTCCTAAAACCACAACGTAATAATCACATGGCCAATCAGAATTAACGTGAATATCACAACCGACAAGGAGCCAACTGAAAGTGGAATCAGGCGCGGGAAACGCGGGTGACCAAATTGCGATTGCTCAAGGTGCTTATTTTGATCATAATTAATCCAATGTGACTTGTACCCTTGAAATATGGAACTTATTCTAAACAATGCCAACAAGTTTTAGTCATATTTACATTAGAATCCGTAATATATTTCTGTTGTGAGCCAAGATGGTGCTTCTTGTCTTCCCAAGTTGTCTCGTTCAAAATATTTGGTTGTTTCTTCTTGGACGTAAACGTTGAGCCAGTTTGATTAGTATTGTCTTTTCGGTTCAGGATAAAACAGAGTTAGTGCAACTTCAAGAAAACCTCTTCCAAGCGCGAAAAGACGCCTCCCAACCGAACGTCGTTGCAGTTGTCACGCAAGCTGAAATCTGGGGCACGGCTAACGAGCGTGACCTGTCACAAGCCCTGAATTACAAGTATGACGTGTTGAAAGACAGGCTACTGCGTGACGCTCTTATGCAACAAGTTGGCTTGACTGAGTGGGAGGCACTTTCTGAGAATGATCGTTTTTCCAGACTGGCGCAGATGAAACTGAAAGTACAGGCTTTACAAAGTGAAGGTAAACCTTTCATACTTCTTCCTTGAGCTCAAAACGTTTTTACAGGATGTCTTTAGGCGGTGGTTAAATGACAAAAAAAACTTTAAAATAAATTTGAACATTCCACGCGAGCGTGATACAGAATGAAAATCTGAGTCTGCCACAAGATTTTAAACTCCTTTCAGTTCCGACTTTGCATACAAGTGCTTTAACTAAAGTACATTTATATAGCGTGTTGTAAAACTAAAAGGAACAGCTAATTAAACAATGGAAAATATCGCAACGACCCATTGGAAATTCGTAGTAGAAATAAACTGCTCATAACGCAGATTGACCAAGACACCGCGAGTTTCCGGACCAATCACTCTGTGAAATAAAGCGAAACTAAAGCAATCTCGGATTACTTTCGACATTCAGTCGAAAATTGCTCCAACTTAGCTAAGAAATGTTCCGGGCTCCTGTTGATACTGAGTTATTTTGTAATCAGCTTTCGATGAAATAACTTTACTTTTAGACTTAGTTGGAAATAATTCTTTTAAAATTATCAAAAGAGCTTGAAGTTTCAGTTGCTTGCTGCCTCTTCCTGAGACCATGTGTTTGTGACCTGATTCAATGTAGGAAAACAAGACGAACTGAAACAGCTTTTAGGTGAAGCAGCAGCCATTAATCTCATGTCACTGATGGGTGCGAATGGCACGCAGCAGAAGCAACGGCAGAATGAACGACAACAAAAGAGGGAGGAAAGAAAATCTCAAGGAATGTCAGACGAGGAAATTCTCAAACTCGAGGCTGAAGAAGATGTCCAAGCTGAGGAAGAGGCGCTTAAAAGATCCACCGGGAGTACAGTTCAGGATCTTGAGGTAAATATCTCTGTTTATCGGAAGTTTTTGGACCAAATTTGTACCTGACAACAACGCCGTGAGAAAATACTCGAAGTAATACAACATAGATTATTTAGTTTTATGAAATGAGTTGATACTGTAAACTGGCCACCGTAAAGAGTTTCTTAAGCTGACGTTTCCAGCGTTAGCCTTTAATTACAGCGAATGGCAAGGGACTAGCGCTCGAAACATCAGCTTTAGAAAGTCGTTACGGTGCCAAGTTAAATTATCAACTCAGTTGACAAAACCAGTTTATCTTGTATTGCCCCCAGCGAGGCAACACACAATTTTTTTAGAAACTTACCCCTTTATTCATTTTTGTCGTAATATAACGTACATCATTTAAACCTACTCAATCTATGAATTATCAGTTGTGGTGGGTGGGCGGACGTTTCTCAGAAGATTTTATCTTCTCAGAATGATGCTATCTCTTATGTTTTGCTTTAGAATCGTCTCAGTATTGAAACAGACAGCCTGTTAGCTGACGTTCGCGGGGCCGACGCTAAATTTGAAAGCGAGCAACACCGACATGCGCAGTTGGCGCGAATCCGTCATGAGGAGAGGCAGGCCTTGCAGGAGAGCTCGTTCCAACCTTCCGCTCTGGTGCTTGGACTTGCGCAAGCTCGTCAGGTTAACATGGATAGCAGGTAAAGAGTGACCACCATCTGATTTCTCCCTACAGTATCACTGGCGAATCAACCGTTTAAGTCATGAGAATAACGGAAATGATCAAGAACTACAGAATGTACAGCTGGACTATTTTTGAAGTGTTTTCAATTCGCGCCGTTTTACAGCAAATTTTTGGCTCACGAGCGTTTGTACCATTAGAAAATTGCATAGTTTTTTTATGGCTATTATCTCGATAATTATAACTGTCAAAGAGGCAAACGTTTCACGGTGGGTGTACCGTCCATAAGGATCAGTGATGCTCCTTCCTTGCGTTGTGTAGCACTTCAAGATTTCTTTAAAATAACTGTAGTGCGAGGGCTTGATCATAATTGAGATATATGCCAGTATTTTGTATCAAGCCGACCATTTTGAAACTCCAAAAATCTCCCAAGATTTGGTATTCTTGTTTTACGTGGCACGAATCGTGAGGTAACCAAGGGAGCGCTCATCACTTATCGCCTTGGGGGAAGGGGGGGAGCTTGTGATGGAGGATTGTGGTTAAGAAGAGGGGGGGGCTGGGGGCTGGAGAAATTGGTTGTGTAACAATAAAATTTACCCGATCCCCCTGAGGCTCTGCAGTATTCTAATGATCCTCCTCATTGGCAGTCAATTGTGTAGAGTCCCCCGTTAATGCTCTGTTAGCAACGACTGATCCTTCCTCAGTACCCCCTGAAAACCATTTGTTCCCCCAAGCTCCACGACCCCACCCCCTCCTCCACTAAACTGGCCATCGATAATGACTAGTCCCAAAGTTTGATTTTTTTTTTTATCATAGCTCCAAACAGGATCAGGACCGCCAAAAGCAATTGGCCCAAAAGAGATTAATCGCGTGGCAACAGAAAGACCAATCAGAGATGAATAAAGTTAAGGAACAGCTGAAGGCATTGGAGACTGGAAGCGAACCCGAAATAGTCTCCAGTACGAGCATTGGAGCTCTGCAGGTTTGTGTGGTTACAAAGCTACAAGGGATTTAAGCTGCTTCAGCTTAGCTAGTAGGATTTTCATAAATCCTTTTCGCGCGCGTATTCGTCAGTGTCAGTGTAAATCCGAGGGAAGCCCGACCCTTAGTTACATGAAAGACAAGAAATATTGGGAAACTCCTAAACACATTTTCACCAATCAATTTTCAAGCTGAAAGATGTGGAGAAGAAATGGAGTTCGGTTTATAAATCCCGCATTCTCTAAGTTATATGAGCCACAGGTCGGAATAAGATTCACTGGCGTTGGGAGAACAAAAAGACGAAGAAAACGAACTAAAACTACTTTTAAAACGTCGAATTTCCTCCGCCGATTTACGTCTGATTTCAGTCATCTTCGATCTGCCACGGTGTCTTATTGATCGAGGAGGCAATCCTACATTCGGCAAGTTTCTTAAGTTTTCTTATTTAGTTGCCGAAATACTGAAACAGTTTGAGTTAATTCACGGGTGTAGTGAATGTTTTCAAAGTCTTTCTTCCATGAGGGTAAGCCTGAGGGCTTGTTTCACAATTTTCATTGTTTGTTTGTTTGTTTTTTTTGTTAAGATATTATGGTCAGAAGTCGTGTTTGATTTCGTTGTACTTTGCGCTTCATTTCGCAGGAGGCGGTGTTGAAAGAAATGGAACGCAAACATCTGTGTGAGCTCCTAGTTCTAGAACGTTTGATCAGCGAAGAAAAAGAAAGTGACCTCAGGAAAGCAACTCAACAACTTAATAAAGAACAACAACAAGAGAGGCTATTCGAACTGAAGGTTTGTACGATCAGTTCTAATTCTTTTTTTCAGTTGTAGAGCTTTCCAAAGACTTTTCGGAGATCGTAGCAGAAGGTGGTAAATTCTTAAGTTGGGTGTAGAGTAAGGGAAATGTTAACCATTTGGCAAAAGAGGCCGAAGTGAAATATACAAGTCTGTTCCGATTTTGCGGTCAGCGCACTTCCAACAGAGCAACAGAGAACTTTGTGGTGAGCAGGGTCATTTGTAGGTTCATATGTGACAAACGGGCTACGTGGAGGTTGGAGGGTGAAAAAATGGTAAACTGTAAGTTTTTTTTCGTCGAATAAAGGCTTGCTCACTGTTGTTGTATCATCTACATGATTATCGCCTCTATTTCCAGGAACTACGAAAACAGTGGCGGGAGTCTGGACCCGAAGAAATGACAGAGACCGCTGACGAGCAAGAAACGATACTGCGAGAAGGTGTAGGCTTGAAGCTTGAAGTGAGCCGTGAGGAACTGAGGCAGAAGGCTGCAGGGGAAGGAAAGGAACTGGGGCCGGATGACGATTCTGTGTCTCTACTCGCCGCCCTTCAGCAACATCAGGAACAAGAAGCTGAATATTTGCTGCGAGATCTTGCTGTGAAGGTAAGGAACAGAGTCTTTGGGGAAAGCAGTTTGTATTCCTTACTTTTAATGCAAACGTTGGTCAAGACGGCTCGAACTATTCAGTCTGTGGATGAAAGCAAAATGAAAGCAAAATGAAAGCTTTTGAGAAGTTCACGTGGTTATGGTTTTTTTATGCTGTAGAGGGTGGTTCTATCTCTTAACCCTTTACACCCTAACATCGGTATGCACACTCTCCATACTACACTCTATAACTTTCCAAGGTGTTGATAAGGAGAATTTGTTTAACAATCAAGAGCTTCCTTAGTTGGTGATCATTTCCTTTCTTCTCCTGACCTTAATGTTTGACTCAGAGGTGATACTGTAAGGAGAAATTAGATGCTACTCACTCTTAGGAACCAAAGGGTTAAGTCGGTGGATGATTGGATGAAATCGTAGGTTATGGCCATTCAAATGAAAGGTGCTGAGCAGTGCTTTGATATGGTCTTGTTTATTATGTCGTGGTTGAAACTTTTACGTCTGTGGATGAAACCTCAGTGTATGACCACAAATGAAACCTTCTGTGAAGCGCTTTCATTTGGTATTATGCTGTCCAGGGCGGTTCTCTGTTGAACTTTTTCGAAGAAACCCAAGTTTGTGACAGTCAGTCAAATACTCTCATGTGAAACTGTATTTTTGTACTGTACAAGGTGCAATGTAATGTCGTGTTTCAGTCAATGATGTAACGATTCAAGAAAGTCTCGCGTCTACTAATTTATTTCATCGTTCTTGTTTAGAATCCCATGGTGCTTAAGCAGCTTCAAAGCGTGCACTCGATGGCTTGCAAAGAACGTTGGTACGACAATCTGGCTGCCTGTGTGTTGGGTCTGAAGAGAAAACAAGCTCGCCTCACAACGGAGGAATCTGCAGAAGAGGAACTGGTAGAGGCACTGGAGCAGAAGTATGACGCCTTGAAGGACAAACTGCTGACAGAAGTCCTCATGAAACAGATGGGAGACGCGGAATGGGCGGCTCTGTCCGAGAGGGAGAGGCAGGCCAAGCTGCTGAAGCTGAAGCTGCAGGAGAGGAGGCTAAGGCAGGAGGGAAAGTTAGACGAGGCCTCTAGGTAAGTGGAACAGGAATGAGGCAGTGGTGAGGGCGCTGGATTCCTAACGCAGGGGCTTTGATTGGCGTCCCGATCCTAAAATCAGATGTTGGTTGAGTTCATTGTAGTGCTTGTCTCGAGAGATTTTCACCAGCTTGTCATATTTCATCCCTCCAGAAAACTCAATAGTTTAGGGATGTGTGGACAAAGAGAAACTAGGTGGAGGTGATGCTGCTAAATTTATTTATTGATTTATTTTGTTTAAATATTTTCAAGAAACCAGACCGAGAGTTTCATTCAAGATTTTAATGCCTCCTGCACTACCTTTGTTCTACTCACATTTCTTGGTGAAGTATTTTCTCACGGGAGACTTGACCTTGAAAGAAAATTCAGTTTTTATTTTCCAGTTGGGTATATTTTGTTTTTCTTTCCCTGTTTTTTTTCATTTTCCTCTTTGAAACCTCTATGTCGAATGAAAATGAATTTCTTGACTGTGTTAACAATTGCATGCTTTTTCTTTTTCCTTTCCAATACCAGGTTACTTGGCGAAGGAATGAAACACGACGCAGCTTTGCGCGCCCTGATGGGCGAATCAAGGTCGCAACAAAAACAACGTCTGCAGGAAAGACTTGAAAAGCTACGTAAGATGAGACAACAGGGA